GGGCTATAATTTTTATAAATTTGCTTATTTTAAAGAAATGGTCATAAATGTTTGTCAGAATCAGCTCGAAACCCTGAGTATGCACATGTACACGTACTTACTGCATTTTAAATTACATGTATATGTACATGTATCTTCTCTTTCTTTATTGTACGTGTAGGTACATAACAAATGCAGAGTTTCATCCAGATGTAGTGAAGACAGCATCCACTGCTTGTGAAGGATTGTGCAAGTGGACGCGTGCCATGGAAGTCTATGACAGAGTGGCCAAAGTCGTTGCTCCAAAGAAAGAAAGTCTTGCCATTGCAGAGCAAGAATTGTCCGTACAAATGGAGAAATTGAACACTAAAAGAGCTGAACTAAAAGCTGTATGCTAAATGTATACATGCATACATGTACAAGTACATTGTATATATGTTCTGTACATGTACATGTACATGTATAATATTTATTACAAATTTACAATATTAATGCTGTGTTTGCATGTCACTTTATTTACTTTTATTTTTCTGTCTTTAGGTATTGGATAAGCTCCAGTCCCTCAATGACGAGTTTGATGCTATGACTGCTAAGAAGGAGCAGCTCGAAGAGAACATTGACATTTGCTCAAAGAAGCTAGACAGAGCTGAGAAACTGATAGATGGACTGGGAGGAGAGAAGGACAGGTGGAGCGAGGCAGCAAGAGAGCTTGGACAATTATACGATAATGTAACAGGGGATGTTCTTCTTTCCTCAGGAATAGTCGCTTATTTAGGAGCATTCACTGTTGACTTTAGACTGGAGTGTGTCAGGGAATGGCACCGGTTGTGTCTTAATAAAGGTATCCTTTGCTCTGATCCTTTCTCACTGAGTAAGACACTCGGACAGCCAGTGACTATAAGGAACTGGCAGATAGCAGGACTACCAGTTGACTCGTTCTCTATTGATAACGGGATCATACTATCAAACTCGCGTCGCTGGCCACTACTCATTGATCCTCAGGGCCAGGCTAATAAATGGATCAAGAACCTCGAGAGGCCCAATAAACTAGCCGTTATAAAACTCTCCGATGCTAACTACGCCCGTACACTTGAGAACTCAATACAGTTTGGTACTCCAGTCCTCCTTGAGAATGTTGGAGAGGAGCTGGATCCACTCCTGGAGCCTCTGCTCCTCCGTCAGGTTTTCAAACAAGGAGGGGTGGAGTATATTAGACTGGGAGAGAATGTCATTGAGTATAGTCAGGACTTTAGGTTCTACATAACAACGAGATTTAGAAACCCTCACTACCTTCCTGAAGTATCTGTTAAAGTAAGTAAATGTATTTCTACACTAGATGTATGAAACTGCACTTATGTACATGTACATGTAATATTCTTATCACAATTGTACAAATTAAAATGTCTCATTTGTATTTGTTTAGGTGTGTTTGGTTAATTTCATGATTACTCCTACTGGACTAGAGGATCAGTTGTTAGGTATACTGGCTGCTAGGGAGAAGCCAGAACTGGAAGAAAAGAAAAATGAGCTGATAATAGAGAGTGCAGCAAACAAGAAACAGGTAGGACAAGACCTTCAATGTATATTGTATATCAAATGCTCTCTTTGTTAATGATAGTTGAAAGAAATTGAAGATAAAATTCTTGAAGTTTTATCAGCAGAGGTACAGTGCACTGACTTACTGTATGAAGAATATATTTGTATTTTAAAAATATTATTGTAGGGCAATATATTAGAGGATGAGACTGCTATAAAGATACTCTCCTCATCAAAGACACTATCAGAAGAAATACAAGCCAAACAAGTAAAACATGATCACAATTATCTTTTAATTTTCCTTTTTATTCCATTCTCTTTCCTTAGGAAGTTGCATCAGCTACAGAGAAAGAAATAGACGAGACTCGAAACGGCTACAAACCTGTTGCCTTTCACTCCTCAATCCTATTCTTCTGCATATCAGACCTAGCCAATATAGAACCAATGTACCAATACTCACTGACCTGGTTCATCAACCTATACACACAATCAATAGCTAACAGTGTCAAATCGACTGACCTACAGGAAAGAATAGCCAACCTTAATGATCACTTCACCCTCAGTATATACAACAATGTCTGTCGGTCTTTATTTGAGAAGGATAAACTATTATTCTCTATATTGCTATGTATTGGATTACTTAAAGGACGTGGGGAAGTGGAGGACGAGAGTTGGAGGTTCTTGCTCACTGGAGGTGTGGCTTTAGAGAACCCTCACCCAAACCCTTTCCCTTCTTGGCTGTCTGATAAGTCGTGGGGTGAGATAGTCAGAGCATCCAATCTACCAGAACTAAAAGGACTAATGAATGGTAAGGGAGAATGAGAGAAAGAATTATAAGTTATAACTGAAGGAAAGATTGTATGTGTACATATACATGTTAAAATTTGTTTGTTTTAGATTTCAGTCCAGAATGGAAGACACTGTATGATTCTCCTACTCCTCATGAGACAAAATTTCCTAATCCATGGGAGATGAAAGTCAAAGGATTGCATCGGTAATAATAATAATACATGTACATGTACATGAATCACAAATTACATGTATGCTCTCTCTTTCTCTCTCCAGTATGATTGTTCTAAGGTGCATAAGACCAGATAAGATAGTCCCTGCTGTACAAAATTTCATAACTGATAAAATGGGACAGCAGTACATAGAGCCGCCTACCTTTGATCTTGCTGGTAGTTTCTCTGACTCTCATTGTTGTGCTCCTCTTATATTTGTACTCTCACCTGGTGCCGACCCAATGGCTGGACTGTTAAAGTTTGCTGAGGATAAAGGATTTGGTGGGAGTCGCTGTCAAACCATATCTCTAGGACAAGGACAAGTGAGATATTTTGATATTCTACCTCTACTATCATTTCTCTCTCTCTCTCTTTCTCTCTCTTTTTAGGGTCCTATAGCTGCTAAGATGATAGATCAAGCTATTG